AGGAGGAGGACGGGGAGGAGGAGGAGGAGGAGGAGGAGGAGGAGAAGGAGGAGGAGCAGGAGGAGGAGGAGAAGGAGGAGGAGGGAGGCCAGTCCAGGGGGTCCCCAAGAGGGCTCCCAGAGGACAGCCAGGATGCCCCAATCATCGATGGGTTTAGCGCTCTCGCCTCTCTGGGCTTCCCGGCGCTCCAAGACGGCCTCCACAGGCCCCCCGAGATCGACGGCAGACGGTCCCAAAGGCCCCTAAAAAGCCCACAGGACGGCCCAAAAGAGAGCCCGAAGACGGCCCGAAAGATCCCCAAGGCAGCCCCAAGACGGCCCCATACAGTAGGGGCCCGACCACAAGAAACCTGCCACAAGAACCCCCCAACCCTGAGACCCCAGGACGTCCATGCATTCTTGTTGTGGGAGCGTCCCGATTTCTATAGCAAAACCATCGAGGGCTAAGACACCCAGGGCACCCTGGAGGCAGGCAGGGTGTTTCTTGGCATGGGTCTCCACTGTACCTCCGCCCACCTCCCCCGCCCGCGGATCGCCGCTCCACCGGAGATCGAATGGAAGGCTGCACACGAGTCGAGAGGCCGATCCGAGCTTGCGACGCCCGCGGGGACGCCGCCCTCGCTGCCGGGCGCCGCTCCCCACGACCCCGTCCCGGCCCTGGCGCGCGGGACATTTTGCGCGCGCGTCAGCGCTGCGCTGGCCCGCGAGCGAGGAAGCTCTCTTGTGAAGGATGCTCGCCCGCCTCTGACTGTACAGACCCTCGTCGCCAGCTGCCAGAAAATCTGAGCCGCCCTGCCCAAGCCAGGGCTGGCAGCAACCAGAGCCGACATCGTGCGATGCCGGCGCCGCTTCCAGCACCTGAAGGGGATCGGGGGAGAAAAGGGTAGAGGAGGCGGATGGCACTGGGGGGTAGGAGGCGGAGAATGGGAAGGGGCAGGAGGAAGGAGGAAGCAGGGGAATCAAGGCGTGGGGGGGGGGGGGGAAGCCCGTGGACCTGCCGCGCTCTGCAGCACGCCCTGCGAGAAATCCTTCCGGCTCGGCCGAGGCCTCGGCAGCGGCGCCGAGACCGTGCAGGGAGAGAGGCCCTGATGACAGGGACGGCAGCGTGCGAAGGGCGTGCCCGCACATCCGAGGAGTACGACATTCGGCGTGGGAGCGGGGGCCAGTGGAGCGACGTTCGCACATCCTGCGAGAGCAAACTCACCAACACTGCGGACCAGCCATCAGAGGCCCCTGCCACGGCGAGCACTTCAGGGACAACTGCGACCAAAATGTGTGCAACCCAAGCGAGTGCGTACTCCTGGGTCTTGCACGGCGAACACGTCCAACGCAAAATCATCCATTGCCAGAGCGTCTGCAGTGGGCAGGCCGAGGACGGTGCGCTGGAACTCGCCCTCCCCCGCGTGCCTCTCCCGCCTTCCTCGTCCACTTGAGCGAAGGTACAATCACGGCTCTGCGGATCTGGCATCTGCCTTCATCCCTGCGGAGTAGCAGCCTACTACAGTCAACCCGTATCATAATGATGCGCGCTGAGGATGCAAAGAAAGGCCTTGGAGGCCCAGGCGAACATTTTTCGTACGAGGCTGGCCAGCGAAAGTCGCTAAGGATAAGCCGAAGGGGCAATGATGAAAGCGTGACCTTGGGAAGGTTGCCCATCTTTCCTATGCGGGTGGACTGTACCACTGGGAAAGAGGCTGAGCAGGCACAGACCAACGCCCACGAGCTACTGCCTGCAGGCAGCGAGAGAAACCCCTGAAGAGAGAGGACCCCGCGCCAACGTCCGAGCAGACAGGCGCTACTGCTCGGCCGAGGCAGGCAGCAGCCAATCAGCAGCGGCTGTGCAGGCACCGACCGATGCTGCAGTGCCGCACCCCGCCGCTGCCAAGGAGACCCAGCAAAAGGAGGCCAGCCCCTCTGGGCGACAGCCCCTGTTCGGGGACGCACTGACCTGGGTCAATGCAAACCGGGGTCAGCCAGGCGTTGCAGGATCCTGCAAGATCCCGCAGGATCGTGCAAAATCCTGCACCCAAACCCGGGTCAATGCATCACGGGCTCTGCAGGATCCTGCAAGATCCGGCGCTCTGGTTGACCCCCGTTTGCGTGGACCCCCGTCTCTGGAGTCCCGACCTGTGCCAACGCGACCTCGCCCGGCGTCGCCCTTCCTCGGCGTCGACACTGCGTGGGGGGCGATGGAGGTATGCGGCGCAAGCTAACCCTGCGCCTGCCTCGGCCTTGAACAGCGACGCTGGACGGCACGCGAGAGGAGGCCGCCGACCCGGTGTGCACCCTCCCGCATGGCCTCATCGTGAAGACTAGCCCGTGCCACCTCCATCTGCCAACGCCGACCTTGCGGGAAGCATCCATGGCTGGCCTCCAGCAAGTAGGGGCCTCGAGAGCTCGTCCAAGCAAAAGCGTCGCATAAAAAAACACGCCAGATACACGCTGCCGCTGAGGCGGGGCACCAAAACGTTGGCGCAGATCGGGTGCAAACGTCCGCTATTGCCGCATTTCCACAGAACTCCATTATCCAGGAGCCCAGGCGGGCAGATGGCGTCGCGCTGGAACCGCAAGCCATAGCCGATGTCAGACGAGGCGGGCGGATGGTGGGCTCTCACAGCAGCCGCCCGGAGGGGAGGGGGCGGGGATGCTGAGGAAGCGGGCGGAGAAGCAGGAGAGTGGTAGAGAGTGGGGGCGAGAGTGGTAGGAAGTGGGGGGGGGAAAGCGTGGACCTTGACCAAGACTGAGCGCGGAAACTTCGTGTCGCTAATCGGTCACGGTTCATCTTTGTCAACGTCACTTCGTGGATCATGCTCGCGAATCGGCAGCGGCCGGCATGGACCCTGACCATGATCGCATCGACAGAGCCCCACGACGTCTTGGTCATGGTCCCCGCCTGTCTTCCCTCGAGGTGGCGCACGGGCGCAGCGGATGGGAGCTCGTGATGGATACAGAGTCGGAGAGCCAAACAGACGGGACGGAGAGGAGGACGAGTAGACGGAGAAGAAGATGGACGGGCGGACCTGCAGCGATTGGCAGAGCGAGACAGAACTGGAGGTAGACCGACCAGAGGATGCACGACTCGACAGACAGACAGGTTGATGGGCAGGCGCACAGGCCGTCGTGCAGAGAGGTGAGTCAAGCTGCAGAGGGCACGACACCCAGCACCACAGGCGCAGGCAGACAGGTGGACTTCTACGTGGAAGGCTATGCAACTGCAGACTGGCGCAACATTTGAATATCCTCAACGACCCGACCAGGTCCAAAGACGCGGTACACAACCACGATATATTCAACCGTCGATGGAGGCCAAACAGAGCACTGCATGATGTTTGCTCCTCGGCAACGTAATGACTTGGTCAGTGCCGAGACAACCAATGCGTGCGCATGCAGGCAAGGACTCTGGGAGCACCTTCGCGTGCTGACGAGGGGAAAGAACCAGACAGGGGACGGCTATCAGACCAGATGGCGATCTCACAAACAATGACGCAAAACGAGCGCACAAAAAGAAACACGCGAATAGGGAGTGCACCTGCGGAACATGTGCGGGGACACTTGGACTGCCGAAGAAGCAGCCGGCTCAGAGCTGCAAGACTGTGATCCCAGTGGTGCCCAAGCTAACGACGATACCAAACCTTGAACCACCCAGCAATCGCCCTGCCACTCACATGTTTACAACAGCTCGTCTCCCCAATGACATTCTGCAAACGACTGGCATGTTGGCAGATATTCCCTGAAAGGTTTCCTGTCTCACGCTGACATTCGACACAGGTGCAAGCCATTCAAACAAAAAGGAAGACCATAGCCTACAGCAACTTCGGGAGTCCAAGATGCACCAAGAATGCTTTAGGACTCCGCCGCCGCATAGACGGTGGAAGCTTCCCACGACAGCCCACGAGAGTCTCTGAAGGCCCACGACTGTCCAGGTGGCCGCCAAGACGGATGAAGGTACCCCATAGGGTGCCACGACGGCCCGCAGGAACGCCCAAAGAGCCCCTGGAGAGACTAAAGGCATCCCAAGTCGGCTCAGTGATGCCCCAAGAGCACCAACCCTTTGGGCAGCTAAGGTGGCCTGACGAGTTCCTCCTGTGCTCTTCAAAACATCCCTTCCCTTCGGGGAGGGGTACCCTACCCCTCACATCCCTGAAGTTTGTGGCGGGGGCCGCGAGGTGGCAGAGGGCCCTTCTTCGCCCACGATGGCCTCTGGTGCTCCAAGATGGCCTCCAAGGCGGCTCAAGATAGCCGTAGATGGTTGAAGATAACTTCCGACATGACCCCAAGAGGCCAGATGAAGGCCACAAGACGGTTTCAAGTGCTGTCGGAGCCCCCCCAAAGGCTATCATCCTTCAAACGCCTATGGATACTCATTGATGTGTGCCGTCTTGCCGTGTCGATTCCGATGCGCGTTTGAGGCCTCAAGGTTGCCCCAGATGGCCCAAGAGAGCCCAACGAAAGGTCCAAGAGGTCCCAACACGGCCCCAAGAGCGCCCACGATCGTCCCAAGAGCGTCCCCAGAGCGCCCTAAGAGGCGAGGGGAATGGTCCAAGAGGGGGGGGGGGGGGGCCCGCAAATCGAGGAACCCCCCTCCCCCTTTTGAATGAGTGCCTCCCTCCCATATGGCCCCAAGAGGCTCGCCAGAGCTTCCAATGGATCCCCGAGAGGGCTCCAAGAGGGCCCTAAGAGAGCCCCAAGACCCCCAACAGAGCCCAAAGAGGACCCCAAGATTCCCCACACGAGTCCAAGAGGGCTCCAAGAGGCGATGTTTGGGGCGCTGTCCTCCTCGTTATCCTCCTCCTCCTTCTCGTCCTCGTTCTTGCCATCACTGGTTTCTGTCTCATGTTCCTCCGCTTCGTCGTCGTCGTGGTCATCGTCGTCGTCTTCTTCCTCTTTCTCCTCCTCCTCCTCCTCCTCCTCCTCCTTCCCCTGCCCCCACGCGGGCCCCAAGGGTGGCTCGAAGAGGCCCACCCAAACCACCTCCCTTGCTCCCACTTCACCCTGTATGACCGCTTTGTATCACTAGATGTGTCTCGTCGTCCCATTTCCCGTCAGATGTCATGGGCAAGGTTTCTCAATGGGCTGGTGGGGTCACGCAAAGCATGAAGAATTGTCCCCTGAGGGCCCCAAGAGAGCTCTCAAGCAATCCACTGGGGCTCAAACAGAACCCAAGGAGTCCTTGCAAGCCGTATCCTTTCCCTGCCCCGAACTCTCCGTCTCTCTTTATCGCTCTTTCCACCTGTCTCTCTATACATAAATGTGCACCAACCAGCACATACTGATATATGTGTACATGAATGTGTGTATATGCATGTGAATATATACATATGGGAAATTACATGGGTAAACAAATATACGTACAGAAATCGATGCATCTGACTGAAGGTATGCATATACCTAACTCTAGATGCATACGTCCATATATTTACATATATTTATACATACATTCATGTGTATATATATGCATGTATCCCGCGTCCTCATGATCCTCAGCATCCCCTTCATCGTCGTCATTCGTTGTGTTTCATCCCCTGCCCATCTCATCCTCACTGCCCATCCCGCGGTCTCAATAGCGTCAAGAGCAGAGCTGATAGAGGTGGGGTCAACGCGATGAATATATAACCGCCCAAAATGGTGCTTCATGGATGGTTACATCGCTCGCCTTACCAAATCACCCGAATCACCCGCAGAGCACTTGTGAGATGCCTTTTCGCCAATATTCACGTATAGACTGGAATGGTGCCCCATCGCGAGGCAGCCTACAAATGGTATCACATCTACCCTGCAGGCTCCAGGTGTCACAATCGTCACGATCGTCTTGATGCGAGGCTCAAAGGGATTACGCCATCAACGAAACTCTTAGGACGGGGCAACACCGTCCAAGCACCCGTGCGATGGCTCCCTGGAGAGGCCTCTGTGAGATGCAAAAGCGATCCGGGCCAGCCACGGGAGCGCGAGCGGCAACCCTGCGCAGCGGAGAGGATGCGTCCAGAAGCCGTCCGAGTAAAGGGAGGGAGGCCCAGAGGAGAGAGGCGAACCGGAATGGAAGCGGGAGGGCATGCTCGGAGGGTTCGGGGGGTGCGCCTGAAGTGAAGCGAGTTCTCCAACTGGCAGATCCGTTTCAACTCCGGTTCGTGTCGGGCGTGACGCGCATGCGGGCGAGGCGAAGCTGCGCGAAGGCGAGAGAACTCCAGTCCTAATTAGGGCCATACACTACCGTTTGGCTTGTCCCGTGGTTGTCTCGTAGCTGTCTCATGGCCGTCTTGTAGTTGTCATGCTGTTGTCACGATGGTTGTCCCACCTGGGGGGTAAAGCCAGGAGACAGCTCGATCGATAAATGGATCCTGATATCGATCGATTCGTGGTATCGATCGATCTACATATCGATCGTGGGATCGATGGATACAGCGATGCCGGCCGATTCATACACATATATCTCTGTATATGTATAGTTTCAGCGAGATCGAGGGAACAAGAGATCAATCGAAAACTGGCTGGTGGGATCGATGGATCGACCGAAACATAGGGGTACCGATAGCTGAGCGATCGAGATCGACCGCGAACGCGATCGAATGCCAATGTAGCAAACCGAAAGATGCACCCACCCAGGCCCGCCCAATCTCATTGTCACCCGCAGTGAGCCCCACTAAAGACATCGAAAGAGACAGAGAGAGAGAGAGAGAACAAAAAAAAACGGAAAAGATTGCTCTGACCACCATGTGGGCCTCTCCCGATGGGCCCGCTTGCTCCGTCTGCACAAGCCGACCGCCGCCCGTGGCGGTTCGGGCTGAGCGCTGGGCAGCGAAACTCTTCGCACGCCAAAAGAGGTGGGCGGAGCAGAGAAGGCGGGTGGGGCTGGGCTGGGTGAGATAGCGCAGGTCCGAGACTGAGGAAGAGAAAATGAAGGAGGAAAAGAAAGAGGAGGAGGAAGAGGAGGATCGGAATTTGGGGCGGGAGAGGTGAGGCCGCAAAAGACCAAACTGGGAAAAACCAGTTGAACTCGGTTCGTGCCGTGCACGCGGGCGACGACACGTTGTTTTGCCGAGGCTGATTTTCGTTCCCAGCCATCCTGTGGTGGTGGGTCCTCGTTTTGAGGAGACAGCGTCCCGCGTCCACACTCCTCACGCTGGCCTCTTTCCCATCATCATCATCATCATCATCATCATCATCATCATCATCATCATCATCATCATCATCATCATCATCATCATCATCATCATCATCATCATCATCATCATCATCATCATCATCATCATCATCATCATCATGATCATGATCATCATCATCATCATCATCATCATCATCATCATCATCATCATCTTCTTCTTCTTCTTCTTCGTCACACCCCTCACACGCTTCGTGCCCCCATAGGGAGCTCCACAGAAGGACCAAATGCCACCGTCCACATGCGTCCCCCACAACCATTTCGGCACATCCTCGCACGCATCTTGGACCCATAGGGAGCTCCACCGAAGGCCCCAGCGCCACCGCCTACATGCGTCCCCCGCACCCATTCCGGTACACCCCTCACACGTTCCGTGGCCCCATGGGGAGCTCCACCGAAGGCCCCAGTGCCACCGTCCACATGCGTCCCCCGCACCCATTTGGACACCCCCCTCACACATTTCGTGGCCCCATAGGGAGCTTCACCGAAGGTCCCAGTGCCACCGTCCACACGCGTCCCCCACACCCATTTCGGCACACCCCTCACACGCTTCGCGGCCCCATAGGGAGCTCCACCGAAGTCCCCAGTGCCACCCACCGTCCACATGCGCTCCTCACGCGCTTTGTGGTCCCATATGGAGCTCCACCGAAGACCCCAGTGCAAATGAGGACCAACGCATAAAATTCCGTACACGCCTCACGCTCTCCGTGGCCCAACAGAGAGCTACACTGAAGGCCCCAGCGCCACCGTCCGCATGTGCCCCCCACACTCATTTCGGCACAACCCCCTCACACGCTTTGTGGCCCCACATGGAGCTCCACCGAAGGCCCCAATGCCACCGTCCACATGCGTTCCCCACACCCATTTCGGCACACTCCTCACACGCTTCGTAGACCCATTGGGAGCTCCACCGAAGGCCCCAACGCCACCGCCCGCATGCGTCCCCCACACCATTTCCGGCACCCCCCTCACACGTTTCGTGGCACCATAGGCAGCTCCACCGAAGGCCTCAGTGCCACCGTCCACATGCGCCCCCCGCATCCATGTCGGCACTCCCTTCACAGGGTTCGTGGCCCCAGAGGGAGCGCCACCGAATACGATATTTACAAGTGCGGTACGCACAACTGCATATGGCTGGGTCCTTCGCCAAGCAAACTTTTTCCTACACATCCTTTGGTCTGGGGTCCTCGTTTTGAACAAACAACGTCCCGCGTCCTCACTCCTCCCGCTGCCCTCTTCCCTCCTCCATCATCATCATCATCATCACCATCGTCTTCGTCACACCCCTCACACGCTTCATGGCCCCATAGGGAGCTCCACTGAAGGCCCCAATGCCACCGCCCACATGCGTCCCCCACACCCATTCCGGCACACCCCTCACCTGTTCCGTGGCCCCATACAGGATCCCACCGAAGACCCCAGTGCCACCGTCCACATGCGTTCGCCAGACACACATTCCGGCACCCCCCTCACACGCTTCGTTGCCCCATAGGGAGCTCCACCGAAGGCCCCAGTGCCACCGCCCACATGCGTCTCCCACAACCATTTCGGCACACACCCCTCACACGTTTCGTGGCCCCATCGGGAGCTCCACCGAAGGCCCCAGTCCCCCTCACTCATTTCGGCCTCCCCGCCCATGAGGAGCTCCACCGAAGGCCCCAGTGCCAAGGTCCACATGCGTCCCCAAAACACATTCTGGCACACCCTTCACACGCTTCGTGGCCCCATATGAAGCTCCACCGACGGTCCCAATGCCAGTCCACATGCGCCCCACGCACACCCATCTGTGCACACCCCTCGCACGTTTCGTGGCCCCATATGGAGCTACACCGAAGGCCCCAATGCCTCCGTCCACATGCGTTTCCCACACCCATTTCGGCACACCCTTCACACGTTCCGTGGCCTTATAAAGAGCTCCACCGAAAACCCTCCCAGTGCCACCGTCCACATGCGTCCGCCGCACCCATGTCGGCACACCCCTCACACGCTGTGTGGCCCCATGGGGAGCTACAACGAAGGCCCCAGTGCCACCGTCCACGTGCGCCCCCCGCACCAATTTCGACACACACACACACACACCTCACACGATTCGTGGCCCCACAAGGGAATATCACCGAAGGCCACAATCCACATGCGCTCTCCGCACCCATTTCGGCACTCCTCTCACACGCTTCGTGGCCTCATAGGGAGCTCCACCGAAGGCCGCAGCACCACCGTCCACATGCGCCCCCCCGCACCCATGTCGGCGCACCCCCCTCACACGTTTCGTGGCCTTTTGAGGGAGCTTCGTCGAGCGCCCTAGTGCCACCGTCCACATGCGCCCCCCGCACCCATTCTGACACACCCCTCACACGTTTCGTGGCCCTATAAAGAGCTCCACCGAAGGCCCCAGTGTCACCGTCCACATGCGCCCCCCGCACCCGCTTCGGCACACCCCCCTCACACGCGTTGCGGCCCCATGGGGAGCTCCACCGAAGGCCCCAATGCCACTGTCCACATGTGCCCCGCGCACTCGGCAAGTTCCGCACACGCTTCGTGGCCCCATACGGGGCCCCACCGAAGGCCCCTACGCCACCGTCCACATGCGTCCCGCATGCCCATTTCGGCACACCCCTCACCCGCTTCGTAAACCCATCCCCATAGGGAGCCCCGTCCACATGCGCCGCCCCCAACCATTTCGGCACATTCTTGACACGCATCGTAACCCCACACGGGGTCTCCACCGAAAGCCCCAATGCCACCGTCCACTTGCGCCCCCCCTCACCCATCTCGGCACACCCGTCACACGTTTCGTCGCCCCACAGGGAGCTACACCGAAAACCCCAGCGCCACAACCCACATGCGTCACCCACACCCATGTCGGCACACACTTCACGCGCTTCGTGGCCCCATAAGGAATTGCACCGAAGGTGGTATTCACAACCGCTGCGCGCGCAACTGCATTCGATTGTGTCCTTCGCCAAACATTCGTTCATACAAAACAAGTCGGGCAACACACAATATCCCCTAATGTCCCGTAATGAGACGTCTCGGTTGTCCCGTGGGATGCCCTGCCGGCCCTGTGGATGTTTTGTGGATGACATGTGGGTTATCAGGTGGTTATCCCGTGGGTTGTCCCGTGGATATTCCCGTGGTCCTGTATAGTGTCCCGTGTTGTGTCGGGGGGTGTCCCATGGATTAGCCCGCGTTGTTGTTCCTGGGTTGTCCTGCGGTGGCCCCGTGGCAGTCGGGTGGAACGCGCTGATCATAACGAACATCGAAGTGTATACGATGTGCGAAGCAAAGTGGGCATAGGAACGCGAGCCGAACCTACAATCGAAACGCATACCACAATGCAACACCAACATGACATCGAACGGCACACTAAATCGCAAATCGCTTTGGACATCGAAAGTCTGATCCAACTGTAAGCTAATCGAATTCCACATCGAAATGCACATGGGATTGAAATGGGGATGCACGCCGACATGCAAAACGTATAGAAAGCGGCATGGACATATATCCCACCCGAAGTTGCATATAATGAACTTCGGCCTTTGGGGTCCCCCCAGGAGCCCGGAGAGCCCAACTCTGAGCTCCAAAGGGCCCCGCCTATCTCCTGTGCTGGAAAGGCGCGCTTGAGCAGATACAGCGTCGGATCCAACACGTAGCTTGCACCATGTACACTCCTGTATGTCTCTGGCGTCGGGGGCTAGAGGCTCGAGCACCTCCTCGCTATGGCCTCGTCAGACCTCAGCGGGCCCCCATCGACAGCCCCTTGGCCAACTCCGCCGAAGGGACTCTGCCTGCTGCGCGCACAACCTCGACCAGAGCATCTCAAGCGCTCTGATCCTCACCCGCCGTGCTCCCGACTCTCTCCGCCTGAGCCCGCCCGAACTGGCCTTGCTCGAGCCTCGAAGGGGAAGCCATCGACCCTCTCGGGTCCGGGCTCCATCAGCTCTAGTGCTGCCTGTCTGCGCCGAGCTGGCAATATGCATTGGCGACCCGAGTGCTCACTCAGCCGCAAATCTTGAATCTCTCAAACTCCCCCGCCTCCCTCGCGGTCGACAGACCGCCGCGCGCGGGGGTGGGGTGCTACTTCTCACCGAACCCCAGCGCCACGAAGACACGCGCCCTGCGCCTCGTTGTGCTGGTCGCCGACGCGATGCTGATCGAGTCTGGCAGCGTAGCGCCCTGGACCACCTCGCCCGCCCGGGCGCCCTGGACCATCTTCTTCAACTGCCTCCTTGCGCCGAAGCCCCAAGATGAGCCAGCTCAGGGCGACGAGGAAGAGCGCCGCCAACATTGGGTTGAACCCCATGCTCTCGGCCTCCGTCTCGCCCAACGCCTCTGCCGTCTCGGGCGCGGGAGCATCAGCGCCGCTGCTAAGGCCAGCACGCTCGCGCCGCGCCTTGCCGAAGGCACGCTCAGCGGCAGGGCGCCGACCAGCGCCCAACGCCTCTCGGGGCCACGGACCTTGGTGGGCTAGTCTCCCCTGCGCACCGCTGTCTTGATCTTGATCGGTTGAAGCTTTCCCGACCTCGTCTTCTCCTGGATCCACAGCTGATTGGCCTCCAGGTGTCTCGCTCGGCCCGCGCCACGGCGGCGGGGGATGCCCGGCGGCGGGGGATGCCCGGCGCCGCCGCCGAGTCACTGCCGACCTTCACCACGAGGTTCAGCACGCCCATCTCCTCCAGCACACGCTTGAGGAACAGCCCGAGTGAAATCCGTTTCACCTGCTCGTGAAGCTCAGCCTCGCCCGGCGAAAGGGCAATGTTCTGGCGCTGTCCACAGTCGCTGTCCAACAAATGCTTGCCCCTGAACAAGCCCACATGTGGACATCCTGGTCCTCGGGCGCTGCGCCCAGTCGGAATCCACCTCAACGCGCAGCTCCCGCGGGGTCTCCTGGCACCCGAAGTCCCGCTGCAACTCCTTGCACGTCTCGAGGGGGTCCCCTAGGCGTTCCAGCTGGAACCTCTGCAGCACCGTCGGCGCCTCCAGCGCCCTCATCAGCATTCCCGTCGCGTGCTGGATGTCTGGGCGATCGGCAGCCAAGCAGTGTGCCAGCGCGACGAAACTCCTGTGCTCGACCCGCTCTTGGTCGCCAACCAGGTCTGCCGCGTCCTTCCGACTCTTGCCCGCGCGCTTGCTCACTGGGCTGAGGAGACGGCTGGGCGCGCCCCTATCGGCCCTGTCGCTGCGCGCGATGACCTTCTCGACGCGCGCCGCGCCGGCGAGCCAGCGGGGGCCGCCGTCGTTCCAGCCGATCGCGCGCTTGAGGACGTGGCCGCGGTCGGCCCCCCCCAACTGCTGGCGGGCCGACTCGAGGCCCGCGCTTGATTCCGAAGTGCTGCTCCAAAACTCCGTCGAGCCAGCCCAGCCCCTCCAACTCGCCTCCCGCGCAGAAGCCGCCGCCGTGAACTGCGACCAGGATCGCCCGACTCGCGCGGTAGCACACCTGCGCTGCCACTGCGACCTTCTTGAAGCCTGACCTCATGAGCGCGTCGATGACGCGCTCCTGGAACTGCGTTGCTGCTCTTCTTGTGCCGTAGAGTGCCTTGCGAAGCTGCCACGCGCAATGCGGACCCTCTCCGCCTGACTTGGGCGGGTCCACCCAGATGTCTGCGCCGATCAGCGCGCGGTGAATGGCGGTCGACGCGTCGCGCAGCGCGACCAGCCTCCCCCGACCTCCTCCGACCGGCGTTGCCGCGAAGCTGAGGACCAGACCAGCCTTGCGCAGGGCAGGCTGGGGGCCCCTGCGAAGCAGTCGCTCCTAGCCCCCCGCGCCGCCTGCGTGTCCGCGACGCGGACACGCACGAACATCACTCCGTTGTCCTCGTAGCGCTCGTCGCACTGGGCACCGACGCGCTCGCCGCGGGCCTCGCTCTACAGCGCGCGCACGCACGCCCCGAACTCCTGCGTGAGCCCCCTCTCTCGCTGACGCCCTGCCTCCATCGAGGCGGGGTCCAACATGGCGCCTGACCTAGCCGCGCGCACTGGTGCACCCATGTTGACCTCAGCGACCTCAGCGACCATGGCCACGGACGGACTCTGCACCAGGTTCATGCCGAGGCCTCCGACGGTGCGCAGCTGCTTTGACTCCACGTCGTCCTGGGCGCCGCTGCTCTGACCTCTCATTTGACCTCGGCCGCTGTCGATCTGCATCGGCCTGTCGGCGACTCGAGACTTCTTGACGTCCTGGTCGGCCCCGGTCTTCACGCCGCGCGGGCGTCCCCGCTCGCCGTCGACCGCCGCCGGCCCGCCGACGTCGCGCAGCTCCTGGACGTCAGCTGGCGCCGCCTGCGACGGCTCTGCCAGGGGCGCTTCCTCAGGATGAGGCGGCTGCAGCAGCCGCGGAGCCCGCGCGCCTACTGGTCCCTCACCTGCCTGCCTCCTCTCCTCGACCAGCGCCTCATCGAGCCTCTTCCGACGCTCGCGGGCGCGCAGGCCACCTTTTACTTTGCAGGCCTCGCAGCAAGCGGCCCTGCCGAACCTGTCCAGCGCCGACTTCGCGAGGTAGGTGCTCCTCGGGACTGTCTCCATCGGCGCGCGGCGGCTGCCTCGTAGCTCCACCGAGGTCCCAATAGCCGCCTCGCACCTCGGCCCCCCGCCTCTCGACGCGCATACCTCAATGTCCTGCGCGACCTTGCTCGGGCAAGCCGTGGCCCCCGAACCCGCGTCGAACGGAACCCAGACCACGACGTTCTCATCCGAGATCTCCGCCAAGGTCAGGCAGACGCGGGTGACTAGGTTCAGCTGGTTGTTGTTGATCATCGCCGCGGGCAGGTCGCCATCCGGGGTGTCCTCGATCCCCGAGGTCATCGTCGCGTCGGGCGCGTTGGGGCCGAACCTGCTGTCTGTGTCGTTATCCTGGCTCTCCTGGCCGTCATTGCTGGCCGCCTCGAAGACCATGTGCGCGCCGTGCGCGTCAACCGTGTCGGGCCACGCGTCCACGCTGGCTGCGATCAGCGTAGGGGACTGCTGCTGCTGCTGCGACCTCTGCTGCGCCGCCGCTGCTGCCGCCAGCTGGGCAGCCAGCTGCGCGCACACCGCTGCCATCTGCTGCGGCTGCAGGCTGGCTGCTGGCAGTGGCTGCTTGGCGGGCGCAGCGGGCTGCCGGCCCTGCGCCTGCTGCTGCTCGAGGGCCGCGATCGTCGCGCGACTCTCTCCTCTCGACTCTTTGGATCCTTTACTGCCGTCGCCTCCTGCCCCTTTGCCTGCGGCCTTCTCGTCGGCAATCCGCTTGCGGCAGTTGCGCGCGACGCGGCCCTTGCCTCCGCAGTAGAAGCACTTACAGTGGCTCTCGTCAGCCGCTTTGTCTTTGCCTTTCGGGTCCTTACCCTTGCCTTTCGGGTCCTTGCCCTCGCCTCATTCTTTGCCACCCTTGCTAAGGGTAGCGTCCGCCTCCATCGGGCCTCCAGCGTCCGTCGTCTGCCACGTCCTGCTCGCGCTGATGCATGTCCTGGCCGAGTCCATTATCCTGGGGTGCGTGTCCACCGTCGGGCCATTTAGGGCGAGGTGCTGACCGACCGTCCGGTTCTCGATGCCGCTGAGTACCGTCGCTGCCAAAATCTCGTCTGGGACCTCCCTGCCCGACTGGTCCGCGCACTGCTTGACCATCCTCTCGAAGTTGTCAATGCTCTCGTTGACGGGGCCAGGCAACTTCGCGCGCAGCAGCACGGATGACAACATCGCCCGGAACCGTCTCCTCTGACTCGGTATGTACTCATACACCAGCAGACGCCAAACCTCAGAACCATGCCCGACTGGAGCACGATTGGCCTTCTTCAGGGCTGCTCCCTTCACGAGCATCACCAGCAGGAAGTAAAGCTGACCGTTCGCCTCTGTTCCGCGTCGAGGTCTTAGTCTGGGAATTCCATCGGCTCTGGACCCTTCGCCTCCGCTGCCACCATCAGCCTAGTGATGGCCAAACTCACCTCCGCAGCGTAGGCCCTGAACATGAGACTCCAGTCCGATCACTCAGCGCGAGCTCCGTCGAACACCCCAGGTTGCTTGACAAGCCTTGTGTCGACTCTGCTCGCTGGAGCTGCTGTTGCTGCCGCCGGCCTCTGCATTGGCGCCTGCTGAGTCAGGCGCTCCGTCTCCAGGATGTGGCGGTTCAGCTCCTCGCTTTGCCTCAGCAGCTGCTCCATCTGTTGCTGCATCGCATCCACTGCAGCCGCGGACCCTGCTCAGCCTCTGATAGGTCCGTGGAGCCAACTCACGGCTCCGCTACCACGCGTGGAACCCACTTCGGCCTATGGGGTAGAGGCCAAAGAGCCCCGCAAGAGCCCCGCCTTTCTCCTCGGCTGGCAAGGCACGCCTGAGCGGATAAAGCGTCAGATGCAACACGTAGTTTGCACCATATACATCCTTATCTTTTTTGACATCGGGGGCTGGAGACTCGCAGAAGTTTAAGTCGAAGTGAAAACTAGCATGAACATCGGAATGTAGCTCGTAAGTCGCATCGAAATGCGCATCGAACTGAACATTGAAATGCACATCCCATGCACATCGAAATGACAATTCCATTACAGCCGAGAATTGCATATCAACCTGCGCATCAAAATGAAACTCCCCCAACCACCCCAAGCTTGTTTATCACCAGAAGGGTGGTCTTTCTTCGGAGAGCTCCAAACAGCACACCCCCACCAGCCCTCGCCAGGCCTGTCGTGGGCCCTGGACTGGTGTACAGGCCCTCCTGGCCCGGGCCAGGAGGTCTGCATACCGATCCTGGACCCAGGAAGTGCCTAGCCATGGCTGGCGGTGGTGTATACGTGGCGCCCCTTCCGATCTTTAGGAGGCAGATACCGACTCAAGCGCAAGGATGTGCAGGCGCCCTCCCTAAGGGAACGAAAAATGACTCAAACTCAGAAGTCCGCGCGGACTTCTCGGATCCGTGCTGGACACCCTCCCTGGCGCGCTTCGCGCGCCAGGGGCGGCGCCAGAGGCGCCCCACAGGGGGTCCAGCGCGGATCCGAGAGATCTGCGCGGACCTCCGACGTTTTATGCTTGTGTCACTCTTCCTTCCCCTAGTGCAGGCGTCCTCCCCCAGCAGTGTCTAGCGCAGATCCGAGAAATCTGCGCGGAAACTCCGACGTTTTATGCTTCTGCTTTGGACGCCCGAGATGGATACGGAGGAAATGGGTACAATGCCCAACAATAAATGTTGTCCCAAACCAACAGCGGCCGGTGTTGGGCAGGCGGCCTTCTGCCTCGAATGGACACAGGCCGCGGCGGCGTGGACAGCAAACCCTGTTCAAAATGAACTGGATCCGCTGTTGGGCACTGTACCCATTCTTTCCGTGCCCATGTCGGTCGTTCCGAATTCTTCCTTCCCCTACTGCAGGCGCCCTCCCCTCCCTCCAGAAGACGGCGTGGCCCAACAACCGCTTCCAGACGGCACCTGGCTGGTCTCGGCTGCGCGACTGCACCCTCCCCTGCCCGAGCGGCCCCGAGACAGCAAGGCAGTGGTGGCTCGGGCATCGCCTCCTCTCGCCGGCCGCTGCGGGCGCCACGTGGCAAGCTCCCGCCAGCGGAAGCAACGATTAGGTCGGGCACGTCCTCCTCCATGCGGATTTGGCGAACATGTGCAAATATTCATGTAATAAACAGAAAACAAATAAAAGTATACTACGAATAATGATAAGTCTAATAATGATGATCATCATACTGAGAGGAATAAAAATGATAGTACTAACAATGATAAACATGTGTCCCATACTATTCGGGGATTTGTTTTGGATCATCTTCCTGTGGAGGGACATGCCCGACTTAAGGCAGCGGCCTTCTCCGAATCATGATCTACCCCTCTGGTTTTCCCTCCCGCTCACCACCCTACCACTCCTCCCCCCAATCTCCCAGCCCCCTCATCACAAGACTCTGCATCGTGAGAGCGATCGTGGACCCGTGCTCGTGCTGGGATGGTGTGAACTTTTCTGCGTGCATCTGCCACCTGGGCGTAGGCACGCACCGAGCGGAATGTCCTCAAATAATCTCGGGAATCTCTGCATCACGGTAAATGTAACCGGGCGAAGAGACAACCATATGCAATTGTGATAACCGCAGATGTGTGTGTCGTCTTCCGTGGAGATCCCTCTGTGCCACGATACGCTGTACTGGGCGGGAGAGACGCATGCGAACTGCGCCACTGAGGCCCTCGATGGAGCTCGCTATGGAGCCACGAAGCGCTGTACTGGGTGGGGCAAAACGCATGCGAACTGCGCCATTAGGACATTCGGTGAAGCCACCTCTGGGGCCACGAAGAGACGCACGCGAACTGCGCCACTGGGATCTTCGGTGGAGCTCCATCTGTGGCCACGAAGCGCTGTACTGGGTGCAGGAGACGCACGCGAACTGCGCCACTGGGACCATCGGTGGTTTCCCCATGGGCCCACGAAGAGCTGTACTGGGAAGGGGGAGACACATGCAAACCTTCGGTGGAGCTCCCTCTGGGTCCACGAAACGCTGTGCTGGGTGGGGGGTCGCGTGCGAACTGCGCCACTGGGACATTCGGTGAAGGTCCCTCTGGGGCAGCGCAGCGCTGTACTGGGTGGGGGAGACGCACGCGAACTGCGCCACTGGGATCTTCGGTGGAGCTCCATCTGTGGCCACGAAGCGCTGTACTGGGTGCAGGAGACGCACGCGAACTGCGCCACTGGGACCATCGGTGGTTTCCCCATGGGCCCACGAAGAGCTGTACTGGGAAGGGGGAGACACATGCAAACCTTCGGTGGAGCTCCCTCTGGGTCCACGAAACGCTGTGCTGGGTGGGGGGTCGCGTGCGAACTGCGCCTCTGGGACATTCGGTGAAGGTCCCTCTGGGGCAGCGCAGCGCTGTACTGGGTGGGGGAGACGCACGCGAACTGCGCCACTGGGACCTCCGGTGGAGCTCCCTCTGTGGCCACGAAGCGCTGTACTGGGCGGGGGAGACGCACGCGAACTGCGACACTGGGACCCTGGATGGGGGAGACGCATGGGAACTACCCCACTGGGACCTTCGGTGGAGCTCCCTCTGGGTCCACGAAACGCTGTGCTGGGCGGGGGGGACACATGAGAACTACGCCACTGGGACCTTCGGTGGAGCTCCCTCGAAGGCCACGAAACGCTGCAATGGGTGGGGGGGACGCATGCGAACTGCGTCACTGGGATTTTCGGTGGAGCCCCCTTTGGGGCCACAGATCGCTTTGTTGGGTGGGGGGGACGTATGCGAACTACGCCAGTGGAACCTTCGGTGGAGTTCCCCATGTGGCCACGAAGCGCTGTACTGGGTGGTGCAGGCGCGTGCGAACTGCGCCACTGGGAGACTCGGTGAGGGTCCCTCTGGGGCAATGCAGCGCTGTACTGGGTGGGGGGGACGCACGCGAACTGCGCCACTGGGACCTTCGGTGGAGCTCCCTCTGTGGCCACGAAGCGCTGTACTGGGCGGGGGAGACGCACGCGAACTGCGACACTGGGACCCTGGATGGGGGAGACGCATGGGAACTACCCCACTGGGACCTTCGGTGGAGCTCCCTCTGGGTCCACGAAACGCTGTGCTGGGCGGGGGGGACACATGCGAACTACGCCACTGGGACCTTCGGTGGAGCTCCCTCGAAGGCCACGAAACGCTGCAATGGGTGGGGGGGACGCATGCGAACTGCGTCACTGGGATTTTCGGTGGAGCCCCCTTTGGGGCCACAGATCGCTTTGTTGGGTGGGGGGGACGTATGCGAACTACGCCAGTGGAACCTTCGGTGGAGTTCCCCATGTGGCCACGAAGCGCTGTACTAGGTGGTGCAGGCGCGTGCGAACTGCGCCACTGGGAGATTCGGTGAAGGTCCCTCTGGGGCAACGCAGCGCTGTACTGAGTGGGGGAGACGCACGCGAACTGCGCCACTGGGACCTTCGGTGGAGCTCCCTCTGTGGCCCCGAGGCGCTGTACTGGGCGGGGGAGACGCACGCGAACTGCGACACTGGGACCCTGGATGGGGGAGACACATGCGAACTACGCCACTTGGACCTTCGGTGGAGCTCCCTCGAAGGCCACGAAACGCTGCAATGGGTGGGGGGGACGCATGCGAACTGCGTCACTGGGACCTCCGGTGGAGCCCACTTTGGGGCCACGGATCGCTGTTGGGTGGGAGAGACGCATGCGAACTGCTCCAGTGGAACCATCGGTGGAGTTCCCCGTGTGGCCTCGAACCGCTGTGCTTGCTGGGGCAGGCGCATGCGAACTGCGCCACTGGAACCTTCGGTGGAGCTCCCGATGGAGCCACGAAATGATGTACTGCGCTAAGGAGGCACATGCGATCTGCGCCACTGGGACCGTCGGTGGAGCTCACTCCGGGGCCACGCAACGACTTACTGGGCAATGGTGATGACGACAAAGACGAGGACACGCGGAGGGCCTAGGCAGGGACGGGAGGAGGGAGGAGGGGGAGGAAGCGGAGAAGGAGAGGAGGAACGCGGGGCGCTGTCTCTTCAAAACGAAAGCCAACACCACATGATGGTTGGTAGCCAGGTGAACATCCCATACGCAATTGACAATACTGCAAGTGTGGGTCTTGTGTTCCGTGGAGCTCCCTATGGGCCACGAAACGCTGTACTGGGCGGAAGAGAAGCGTGCGACCTTTGCCACTGGGGCATTCGGTGGAACTCCCTCTGGGGCCACGAAGCGCTGTGCTCGGCGGGGGGGACACATGCGAACTACGCCACTGGGACCTTCAGTGGAGTTCCCCGTGTGGCCACGGAGCGCTGTACTGGGTGGGGCAGGCGTATGCGAACTGCGCCACTGGAACCTTCGGTGGAGCTCCCCATGGGGCCATGAAGCGCTGGACTGGGTGGGGGAGACACATGCGATGGGCCACGAAGCGCCGTACTGGGTGGGGGAGGCGCATGCGAACTGCGCCACTGGGACCCCTCGGTGAAGCTCCCTCTGGGGCCACGAAGCGCTGTACTGGGTGGGTGCACCGCAGGGGGGAACGGCTGTACTGCGTGGTGGTTGACAAATGCGGGCGGTCCCTCTGGGACCCTCGGTGGAACTCCGTCTGGGGCCACGAAGCGGTGTACTGGGTGGGGGAAACGCATACGAACTGCGCCACTGGGACCTCCGGTGGAGATTCCTCTGGGGCCACGAAGCGCTGTATTGGGTGGGGGGAGACGCATCCGAACTGCGCCACTGGGACCTTCGGCGGAGCTCCCATGGGGCCACGAAGCGCTGTCCTGGGCGGGGGAGGCGCATGCGAACTGCGCCACTGGGGCCCTCGGTGGAGCTCCCTATTGGGCAACGAAGCGCCGTGCAGGGCGGGGGAGACGCATCCGCACTGCGCCACTGGGACCTTCGGCGTAGCTCCCGATGGGGCCACGAAGCGCTGTGCTGGGTGGGAGGGGACGCAAGCGAACTGCGCCAGTGGGACCTTCGGGGAGCTCCGTCTGGGGCCACGAAGCGCTGTACTGGGTGGGGGAGACGCATGCGAACTGCGCTTCTGGGGCTTTCGGTGGAGCTCTCTACGGGCCAGGAAACACTATATTGGGTGGAGGAGACGCATGCGAACTGCGCCACTGGGGACCTCGGTGGAGCTCCCTGTGGGGCAACGAAGCGCCGTGCAGGGCGGGGGAGACGCATCCGCACTGCGCCACTGGGACCTTCGGCGGAGCTCCCATGGGGCCACGAAGCGCTGTACTGGGTGGGGGAGACGCATGCGAACTGCGCCACTGGGGCCTTCGATGGAGCTCCCTATGGGGCAGCGAAGCGCCGTGCAGGGCGGGGGAGACGCATCCGAACTGCGCTACTGGGACCTTCGGCGGAGCTCCCTCTGGGGCAACGAAACTTTGTACTGGGCCGGGGGGACGCAAGCGAACTGCGCCAGTGGGATCTTCGGTGGAGCCGAAGCGCTTTACTGGATGGGTGAGACGCATGCAAGTGCAAACGATGTTCATGCTATTATGATGCTGTTGCCGATGCTGCTGCTGTTGTTGTTGTTGATGATGATGATGATGATGCTGATGATGATGTTGATGATAATGCTGATGATGATGGTGAGGAGGAGGAGGAGGAATGTAATGAAGATGAAAGGAGGAAAGAGGGGGCAGCGGGGGGAGGAATGAGGTGCCGCGAGGCGCTGTCTCTTCAAAGCGAGGACCCAGCACCACAGGACAGTTGGACAAAAACTTCGGCCGAACGTGTCCCAGGCACTTACGATCCACGCCCAGCATGGCTTGGGATGGTCCAGCCATGCAACGCTCTTGGACACCTCTTGGAGGTTCGGGGACCGGTCCAAGAGGGCACCACCATTGGAAAACGCGCGACATATGTATTGGACTTGTCTGTCCGCATAGTCACTTTTTCACCCTGAGATGCCCCCAAAAAGCGGCCCAGGGGGGTCCCAAGATCGCCCAGAAACGGCAAGAGAACACGAGAGGGCCTCGAGACGGTAGATCCTGAACTGATGTTT